TGTAAACACGTGCACGTTTTTGCTGTGTATTAAATGAATTGAACGTATTAAAAATACATCGCGTAATTAAACACTTAACAGTGTCAAGTATTTCGAGAAATCTTTAAATAGAAGAAGTAAATGATGTAGTATAGTGTACGAACTTTTTTAATGTGGTTTTTGTAAACTGGTGAACTAGTTGCAACACCAATGATCGAAATCTATCGGAACAGCTTTCTCGGCTCTTTCACGCGTGACAACTTTTTTCGAGGTAAGTCTTGCAGTTTTCGAGAAAGAAATTCATAAAGATCACCATCGTTGCTCGCCTGGCGCAGCACGACATTTTTGGATCGATTCCTAATCACTATACCTAAATAATAAGTCAGCCATAATTTTTTAACTAGTCAGCACATTCAAATGGAAAAATTGTTTTTCAAATATTTGAACAACTTTGCGTACTCGACTAAATCAATTTGTTGAAAAAGTAAAACCAAATCGTCGCAGTATAGTAATTTCTTTCACATTGTCCCTTGGCTTGGGAACGAAAACGGACAACTTGGGAATAGCAGCAATGAAAAACTGGTGAAAAATTAATTTTTCAAATAGTAAATTAACTATAAACATCTTCATCTTCTCGTGTAACAAAGAATTTGGCTGAACTTTTTCTGAAATATTAGTTACATATGGACTAAACAAAATTTGAAAAGCTATTTCCGTAGGAAATAGTGAAAAAAAATTGTATTAAGCTACATTCGAAGAGCGACCAGAGCTTTCCACCGACAGGCAGCGGTAGCTTTCAAAATCTCTTAGGTCGGGTGTTCCAATATCGGGGAAACGTTTTGCAGAAAAACAGAGTAGATCCCGGGGCCGGGGGCGACCCGTTCGAATAGAAAGCAGAACAAGTGTAAATTTCTCGGCGAGAAGCCTTCAGGGAAGGCGACGGCGGCGGTGATCGCGTCTGGAGCTCCTAGAACGGAAAGGCGGCGAGCAGCCCGCGGAAACGCGGAGGAGTTTGAAAGCGAAAAGAAAGTGATCGAACCCGGCGAGGAGGAATTAAACGCTCGCCGGATCGCGGGGACGTCTTGCCGTTGATGCTGTCGCTTGGTGAACCGTTGGAAAGGTCTGTGTCAGGACATTGAGGCAGAGGGAGGAAGAGAGAAATATATATACGCACACGTAGACAGATAGATAGAAATATTCAGAGATAGACTTCCGAGAAATAAGTTGAGAAATGACTTCCCGAGATAATTTGAAGTAACTTTATCCTTAGTAGAAATGCAATCCGCGGCTTCGTTTATGATATATTAATGAAAAACGCTGACACCCCGCCCTCGCGACCATTGGCGCTGCGTCAGACGGCCGGCGCGGCGCGACATTGGCTGCGAGGACGTGACGCCAGCCGCGTGGGCGGGGCGCCGGCCGTACTCGCCCTCCAATTGATCCGCGTTTTTCGTTAATAACTCGTTAACGAAGCCGCGGATTGCATTTTCGCTAAGGAAAAAGTTACTTCAAATGACCTCAGGAATCGCTTACTTCCCAGAAGTGACACAATTTTGGAACATGTGTATATATCTGTATCTTTATCGCGCCACGAAAGAGAGATGTATGCATAGAGAAATAGATGGATAGAAAACTATATCGAGAAATAAATAGAGATATACAGAAGGGAAAGGGGGGGGGTCGCTCCTCGGAAATCGTTTTGCATCCGAGAGGATCCACGCGGAAAGTGGACGCACCACGTGGCGCGGTAGACGCAGATGAAAGTTACCGATCCTCACGGCTACGCCTTTCTCATTTCACCGTTCGCGGGGATATAATAAATCTCGTTTCAAGGTCTCCGTGCGTCCCATCACCGCCCATCGGCGCCCGTAATCAGATCAGAGTATTTGTTGATTCGTTAAGGCGTTGGAAGGACGCCTGGCCTATATTTAGTCGCGCTCAGATCCTGCGCTGGTTTCGTTTGCCTTTCTTCCAGACGCGTCATCGTTGTCCGATATTGTTATCTTTCGACTCGGATCGAGACACGTTTTATCTTCGTTTCACCGGTGAGACCGTAATTATTTATTTTCTCGAATTTAATTGCTATTTTACATACATTCGTATTCGTTTACGATACGTTATAATAATTATTTTAATAATTAGTATGATTAAATTAATAATAATTTATTTTAACAATTATTATTAAATTAATAATAAAAGTAATAATTAAATGAATGATAACATTAATAATTATATTAATNGCTAAGGAAAAAGTTACTTCAAATGACCTCAGGAATCGCTTACTTCCCAGAAGTGACACAATTTTGGAACATGTGTATATATCTGTATCTTTATCGCGCCACGAAAGAGAGATGTATGCATAGAGAAATAGATGGATAGAAAACTATATCGAGAAATAAATAGAGATATACAGAAGGGAAAGGGGGGGGGTCGCTCCTCGGAAATCGTTTTGCATCCGAGAGGATCCACGCGGAAAGTGGACGCACCACGTGGCGCGGTAGACGCAGATGAAAGTTACCGATCCTCACGGCTACGCCTTTCTCATTTCACCGTTCGCGGGGATATAATAAATCTCGTTTCAAGGTCTCCGTGCGTCCCATCACCGCCCATCGGCGCCCGTAATCAGATCAGAGTATTTGTTGATTCGTTAAGGCGTTGGAAGGACGCCTGGCCTATATTTAGTCGCGCTCAGATCCTGCGCTGGTTTCGTTTGCCTTTCTTCCAGACGCGTCATCGTTGTCCGATATTGTTATCTTTCGACTCGGATCGAGACACGTTTTATCTTCGTTTCACCGGTGAGACCGTAATTATTTATTTTCTCGAATTTAATTGCTATTTTACATACATTCGTATTCGTTTACGATACGTTATAATAATTATTTTAATAATTAGTATGATTAAATTAATAATAATTTATTTTAACAATTATTATTAAATTAATAATAAAAGTAATAATTAAATGAATGATAACATTAATAATTATATTAATTTTATATAATTGTATTGATATTTTTATTTGTATTCAATTTTTTTGTATTTAATTTTTATAATTGCATTTAATTTTAATATTTGTGTATTAATTTTTATATAAATTTCTACTTCGTTTTCCAAAGTTTATTAATTTCATACAATTCCGTAATTATCTTTTGGAAACTGTGTTAATTCTACTTCATTTCATGACACAGTTACCTGAATTCGTACCCTTTCTTTTACATTATAATTTTTTACTATATATAAAAATAGTAATAATAATAATAATAATTTTTTGATTTTTATAGCGGGAGAAAATCTAATAATAATAATAATAATAATAACTAATTATAATTTTTCAAGAAATCCGTATCGGAAGTATTCAACAATCCCCATGTGCAATTGTCTATTGTTCCCAGTACCGTACAAGAAATATAACAATTTTCCTTACAATGTTAAATAACCCCATTAACTTCCACTTAGCAGCACGCAACGTTTCGGAATAAAACATACTCTCGGCGCCGATGGTATCTTCGCAGCTCCAGCAGCATGCTCGTTTTCGATAGCATCTAGACGAGATTTCCTCCTCGTCGGCAGAGTTAGGCAAAAATTTCTCTTCGCGCCTACTTCAGCGGTCGATGAATAATCCTGAGTAAATACTTCCGAGCGAGTGGCTTCTCGATGAAAACTGGTATTACTTGTAGAATTTGTTAAAACGAGGATCAAGCGAAAAAGAGTTTGATAAGATGGAATGCAGACAAGAGTAAACGCCGCCGCTGTGCTCCACGGTTTCTTATTCGGTGGATCGACGATTCACAGTGACCTGGGAATTTGTTTGACGAGGCCAAAATTATATTTTTAAGGTACTGCGTTTCAAAAAATTTTTTTTTACATTTTTATCGACAATTGTTCGATGAATCCAATTTGTGCAAAAGTTACAATGAAAGTTAATATAATTTGTGCAAAAGTTGCAATGAAAATTAATGTGATTTGCAGGAAGAAATTTGTGCGAAAGTTACAATGAAAATTGATATAATTTGGAGAAAGAAGTTTGTACAATTTTTAAAGATGAATCCAATATGTAAATAAAGTTATGATTAAAATTAATGCAATTTGTAAAAATGGATAGAATGAAATGGAATCGTAAAAATGTTTAACTTAAAAATATTAGCGAAGTCCAATAACAATACATTTTAGAATCATCTTTCGCAGCAATCTTTGTTAAAAAAAAGAAAGATGTCGAAACAAATTCTGATCGCTGCAGCAGAGTGCCACTTCGTCGCACAATTGAGTCGCGCGTCATTCATCGTCATAGTTCAACTACGGGAACGAATCGAAGAAAGCCGGAAATATTAATCGACTCCTATGAGTCGGAACGGCCACGGTCAGAGAGCAGACACAAGATGGCGGATGTCGGCTCTCACTGGTCACTCGCAGGAATTTCTAAACGGAAGATCGTAAGCTTTACAAAGGGGAAGTTGGTCGAACCGAGAAATTAATAATAGCCTGCCACCGTTGCACAGCTGTTTAAAACGCGATTCCTGATCAGCAACATGATTTCTGTCGTCGTACATATTCTCCTCCGCGTGAATATACAAAAACTCCCGTTACATCTTGAGAGGGGCGACGAGATGATTCCTGAAGTAATTTGAAGAAACTTTTTCCTTTGCGAAAATGTTCTGCGAGGCTCCGTTAACGAGATATTAACGGAAAACGCTGACCAATTAGAGATCGCGCCGGAACGCGTCAGCCGCCTTAGTGGCGGTAGTGGTGGTCACGAGGGCGTGGCGTCAGCCGTGCCCTCCCCCACCCTCCGATTGGTTCGTGTTTTTCGTTAATAACTCGTCAACGGAACCTCGGATGACATTTTCGCAAAGGAAAAAGTTTTTTCAAATCACCTTGTTACAATGAATTTGTAAATATATAGTTAAAATACATAGATAAATATGGAATTATATTCCATGTCAAAATGTGCAATTATAATACGTACATATGTAATTCATAAAACATTGTAATACATAAAATAATGTAATATATAAAACAATGTAATACATAAAACATTGCAATGCATAAAACAATATAATGACAAAAACCGTCACGTCCAATTAGAACCGCGTTTTATAACACGGTGCGTTGTTGTTTCGCAATCCACGTGACACGATCGCGCTTCGACTGTCCCTCGCGATTTCGCTAGTCGCCTACCGGAAGTCGCCGCCACCCGGACATTACGATCGACCATGCGGGCCCCAGCGGGAACTATGCAAACCGATCGCGAGAAGAATCCTAATGCTGTGTCCAGTTTTTACCAACACCGCGGATTTCCTCGAAAGAGAAAACTCACGTACACGGAAGAAAGGTTTCTCCATGGGCCTGAGCCGTGTCTGTCTTCGGTGAACGATTAGGACGACGGAAAATAATTTACAGACTCTTTCTCTCGGGAAAGTACCTAATCGTAGGATAATAAATCTTGTTGCAAATAATGGGAAGAATGGACAATGTGTCTCGGTATATTTTTTTAGGTGCTCGTCAGCTGTGCAAGTCAAATGCTCCATTGCGCATGCGTCGAATGTTGTTTCGGATACTACCACGGATAGAGGTTATGGCTGCGCTGTACGCGTCGAACGAAAAGAGAACTCACTCTCGAAAGCGTAATACTTAAACCGCACCCTCGGCCCGCCAATTATCACGAGACAGGTAAGTGCACGTATATATCTTCAGAAAATTTCATTTTCACGGGTTTTATCGGCGTACACGCCACCTCCGCGACTTTCTCTTTGTTTACTATTGTTTCGTTTTCTGTTGCCGGCGCGCGATTAGGTTCCTGAGACAATACTTGACCCTCACCCAGTCTTCAGAACGATTTCTCGAACTTGTTGCTATTCCAACTGGTTTACCTGTTTCCAATGTGCGGTTCTCCGCGATACGAGAGCGATTTTACTTTTAGTTCCAGCGCAGGTGTTTTCGAAGTTTTATTTGAAGGTTATAAATGTTATTTATATTCTTCATGTTAGTCATATTACTCTTCACAGTACTCGTATTATTCTTGGTATTATTCATATTATACATATTATTTATATTATTCGTATTAGTCTTCACATTATTATTCATATTATTAATTTTAATCTTCATATTATTCTTCATATTACTCATATTACTCACAATACTTATATGATTCATATAATTCATACAATTTATACAATTCACACAATTCACACAATTTACACAATCCAATCCATACAATTCATATAATTTATATAATTCACATAATTTATATAATTTTTATAAATCATATTATCCCTATTACTCATGTTACACATAAAATTCATATACTTCATGTATTTTATATAATTCATATTATTCATATTATTCATATAATTCATATAGTATATATTATTCATATTATTCATATAATTTATATTATTCAAATTTTTCATATTTTTCACATTACTCATATTATTTATGTTATTCATATTATTAATATTACTTATTCTTTTCATACTGTTTATACTATTTATATTATTTATATTTTTTGTATTTTATAATTATAGTGCAGTAGAGA